ATGCGCTCCCTGCAGGCCCAGAGCAAAGCTCTCTCCACCTGTGCCTCCCACCTCACCATCATCTGCTTCTTCTATAGCACCATCACCTTCACGTATGCTCAGCCAAGCTCTCACAATTCCATGGAACACAACAAGGTCATGTCTGTCTTCTATACTGTGATCATCCCCATGCTGAACCCTCTGATCTACAGCCTGAGGAATAAAGATATAAAACATGCTTTGAAGAGGAGATGCCTGTGAAAGTTGTCTTCATAACCAAGTGTGGAGCATTGAGCATCCTATCCCAAGCTGTAACATGGTAGCCACAATATAAAGTATGGATAATATTAACCCTTAGATAGAGCAAAGTATATGCCAGCACTAAACATTTGATACATTATCAACCCATTTAATCTTCACAACAAGTGTATGAAATGGGCACTATTATTATCCCTTAGGAATCTGGAGCACAGAGAAGCTGAGTAACTTGCCCAAAATCACACAGCTGATAAGAGGCAGTCTGGTTCCAGAGACTATATTCTCAACCAATGCACGGTACTGACTTTTTCTGATGACTACATCTCAAAAAAGAACAATGGCAGCATTCCTTAAATTCCAGATATCACAAGGAGAACCTGGATCACGGCATTATAAAGTGGTATAGGAGGTTTGCCTCGATCAGCTCAGGAGGCTTGCATTTATTCATTAAGATTAGTTAACAAGTGCCATGTTGGTGTGCACATGTACCCTAGAACTTAAAGTATAATAAATAAATAAATATATATATATAAATAAAAATAAACCAAAAAAAAAAAATTAGTTAACAAAAACTTGAGTCAACACCATTAAAGGGTGATTGATATTGTGGACTTCCCGAGTAAAAAGTATACATCAAAGGCTTAAGGCTTAAGACCACATGAGTAAACAAGTTAACTAGAGAACTTCCTCACACCCCACTGTTTACTACTTTAATTTATTTAACTAAAGGTAATCGGACCAGGCCGCCTTCAGCCTGGTCTATTACCGAGGTCATATGAGAACACTCA